ACAAAGCGACCACATATGAAGCGGATGAGTTGCTGTGAGTGACAGGCCATTGTTAGTTAGCTTGCTTTCTTTAGACATTCGGTGGACTGTGCGTTTGGCATCATACTCCCTGACCCACTTTCCGCTCTAGCCAATAAAGCAATCCAGTCATCAACAACCATGACGCAGGCAGTTCCACTCCATCCACACGGCCAAGATCCTTTCGGAGTCAGAGCTTAAATGTTTTCCTGCTCTTGAAGAACAACACTTTAGAAAGACATACAGCTCAGATCATCGAAACTCTGGTTACTGTTTGGCATCAAAGGAGGGGAAAATCGTGTTAGTCTATGGCTTCAGTGGAGTAGGAGATCTCCATGTTTGTGTGAATGTCATAATGAGAACACCAATGGGGTTGCAATGCACAAAAGCTTCTTTATAGTGGAAAAAGGATCTTTAAGACACTGGCCCATCAGTGAGCCCACTTGTTATTACATGTTTATAACAGCACGTCTAATCCTGAAGTAATCTTGACAAGCTATGTGCAGTTCCCTCCACTAATACTGGCACCATTGGTAAATGGTGAAAAAATGTCTTTATTGTTTAACCTATTGATCTTTTGCTCAAAAAAAAAAAGAAGAAAAAAAACTCTGCTGTCATTGAAAACAATTGCAAACACAACAGTTTTATCAAATAACAAATGTCTTTGTTAAATATACGTGTGCCACAATTATTGGCACCCTTTTAGTCAGTACTTTGTGCTGCCAAGATAACAGCACTCAGTTTTCTCCCATAATGGCTGATGAGGTAAACCATTTTTGTGTTAATTTTGATGTATGTTTTGGATCATTGTCCTGCTGGAAGATCCAGCCACAGCCCATTTTAAGCTGTCTGGCAGAGGCAATCAGGTGTTCATTTAATATCTGTTGATATTGATAATTGGTAGACTCCACGATGCCATGTATCCTAACAAGATGTCCAGGTCCGTCCTCTGGCAGAAAAAAACCCCCCCCAAAACATTAAAGTCCCACCACCATATTTAACTGTGGGCATGATGTACTTTCCCATCTGGCTACCTCTCTGTGTGCATCAAACCCACCTCTGGTGTTTATTGCTTTACCATAGAACCCGATCTCATTTAAAGCTCCAGTAAAGTCTGGCAAACTACAGACGCTTGAGTTTGTTTTTGGACGAGAGTAGAGGCTTTTTTCTTGAAACCCTTCCAAAACATTTGTGGTGATTTAGGTGACATCGGATTGTAGTTTTGGAGACTTTCTGATCCTAAGACCCAACTAACTTTCCAGCTGTGATTCTTGGAGATTTTTTGGCCACTCGAACTATCCTCCTGACAGTGCATTGGGACAAGACAGACATGCGTCCTCTTCCAGACTGATTCATAACACTTCCAGTTGACTGGAATTATTGCCCTGATGGTGGAAATGGGCATTTTCAGTGTTTTTGCTATTTTCTTATAGCCACTACCCATTTTGTGAAGCTCAACAACCTTTTGCTGCTCATCACAGCTATGTTCTTTGGTCTTACCCATTGTGATGAATGACTAAGTGAGTTTGGCCTATGTGTTACCTCTTATTTATACCCCTGTGAAACAGGTCATGCTTGAACGATTTCCTGTTCCTAGTCACCCAGGTGTACTAAACATGTAAAATATCAATGGGAATATACTTAAAAACCATTTTGATCATATGAATTCATAGGGGTGCCAATAATTGTGGCACACACATATTTAACAAAGATATTCGTTTTTTTGATAAAAAAAAGTTTTTTTGTGTTTGCAATTGTTTGTTTTCAATTAGAGCAGAGTTTTTCATTAATATTTTAAGCAAAGGATCCAAAAAATTAAACAATACACATTTTTTTCAGACTTCTTTGCTCATATTTACCAAGGGTGCCAATATTAGTGGAGGGCACTGTATCATTTGAAAGCTTAAAGACTCGTTTTCTTTTCTTTTTTTTGGTGTCTGAATTTTTATATATTTTACAGAGCAACCATAATTAGTGTGCAACAAGAGCACTCATCAGAGTCAACGAGCGACTTCTGACCTTTATTTTGAAATAGCGATGCACATGGAAAATTATGAAAAATCTGTAAAAACATGTTAAGTTTCATGCCAAGAATTCAAAAGATAACATCCATTCTATTTAAAAAAATGTTGTTTTGGAAAAAAAGTCAATGTTTTGAATATAAAGAACCATCCTCCGTTTATGATGCAGTGTGAACTATAACACCCGTCCAGGGTTCTCGCCACGTCTTTTATGTGTTTGTTAGATTTTTAGAGTTTGTTAGTTGAATTCAAATCAAATATACTCAAAAATCAACTCAACAATATCAAATACTGGTTGATTAGTCAAACTCATTTGTAAACCACTAGAACTGCTCCACATCCTCCATCCAACTCTTTATGAACTGATATTCAGTTTAGTGCAGTACAAAACTATTTTTTTCTAAGTACAGTAATTTTATAATTTGCTGAAATTTAGCATAGCATTAACTCCGTTAACCCCAAGATCTTCCACTTTTTTGAAATTTTACAGAAAATGTGACACCCCATAAAATTGACAACTAGGAATTAACATTGTTTAGACCCTTTCTATAGCATAAGAAAATTTAATTCCATTTTCTCCTTTTTTTTTAAATTTTGACAGCATTTGTCAAGTTAAAACTTTGACTTGGTTAGTAAAAATATATAGTTAGTAAATAAATAAATTCCCCATCTAGCTAGTCTTAAAATAACAGGCTAAATTTGAAATGTATATATTTTAATGCATTTATGTTTGATGTGTATTGCCTGTGAAAAGAAATTAAAACTGCTCACATATTTAGTTTGATTTTGACATAAGGACAAGCACCTCCATTCACTGGCCATTAGCCGAGAAGAAAAAAAACCTCCTTAAGTTTCATGCCCTATTTCGTATCCTATTCCTGGCAAGTCCCTTTAGACAAAGCATTTCTTACGACTTGGCCAAAGCTGAATGAAAGCCTAACCTGAGAGTTAGAAAGACTGAATGTTTTATTAACTCTTTTCATCATAATTGTAAATCCTATACACAGATCCAAAATGCATTATGAGATGATTTAACCTTAAACGGTGATTAAGGCCTTGATGTCCCCTCAAAAAAAAAAAAAAAAGAGGCCAGACAACCTTTTGCTGGATGTGTTGCCGAACAGTTGCTGGATGTGGATGGCAGAACTGATCTGTAAAAATATAACTACCTACCAATCTTCAAGATGAAAAGATAAAGCTACACATATTTAAGATGCTATTTTAAAATCTAAAAGCAAAGCAGTTCAGTGCTCGACAGACCAAAGAGCCTGTGAAACATTTACAACCCTTTCCATGAGTTACATAACTTATAAGCACAGAACTGTAATTGTACCTTCAGAGCTATTGCCCCATATGACCCTTCTTCAACCTTTGGTCACATGCCATTGATAGTAGATATTTTTGGTTCATGCCCATCTGGTGCTTTGAACAAAAGATTCAGATGATATAAATCTTTATTCGTGTTGATTTTATGCACAACAAAATGTAATGAAGAAATGTAAAAAATCATAATATTTGGATTAAAGGAAGTACATAAGTACTTTAATTGCAAATAAAGTAGTATATAAAATATAACCCTTCTATACCCAATAAAAACAAAACATAAGAGAAAGACAAAGACAACAAAATGGTCCCATGGAAACAATCATAACTGACGGTGGCGTTGTATGGGGCGGGCGCTATGTAACACAGCTCACTTCATGTTCAGGGTCTTTCCTCTGCATCCTTTGGCAGTACTAGTGTAAACCAGAGACACTCACCGTCTCCTCTGTAACAAGGCCTCTGAATTTTCCATAAGAAAGGAATCAAAGAATGGAGGCCAAAAAGTTCATGCATATATTTCAAAGTACACAACAAAAGTGTACCTTCAGATTAATCTCAGTGACTGATTATAAATATGATACTTTACAGTAACTACAGGTACATTACTGCAGTGCAGTGACTCACTACTATCACTACTTTAGCTTCAGTGGGTTCAAAACATCTATGTGAACTGACTTTCTGTAGCAAATATTCAAACATCCTGTTCTCTGAATCAAACCATGTAAACATTTCATTTCATTTCAACATGGCTTTTAACATACCAGTAGATCTTCTTGTGCTACATCAACCCATTCATGACTATTTCTATTACCCAGTTTGGCGGGGTCATAGAAATGACCCAGTTTGGTCAAAAGCACAGAAACTTACATAAAAAAAAATTAAAAAAAAGTTAGAAAGATCAGATCATACATTCACTTCATATTTGACCCTTTATGTAGACGACGGGATTGTAGTCATTTAATCTAACTGTAACTTGGATATTTTACCTTTTATTTCTTTGCAACAAGAACGAACGAAACCTATAAAGATAACAAACAACATGTACTTTAGGGTAACCTTTTACATAAAGTATTTTTTTATCATTAGTTATTGCATGTATTAATGCATTTATGAATCTAGGTTAATTTTAATTTATAAATATATTACCGTCCATTGTTTATTCATCTTGAAATGTTAAAAATGTAGTCGTATATGTAGAAATGAACCAAGATTAACAAATGCTAATAAAAGTACTGAGCCATATTGTAAAGTATTAGCCAACCAGCTTCATAAACCATTTAAGTTATGTTTTAAAGTCTCAAAGCAATGGATTGAGAAGACAGGATCTCTAGACCAAACTCTAATGGACATCTGCATCGGTTCAATGAATACCAATTCAGAAAAATAAAAACGTAATTGTATCAAAGCTCCTACAGGCCACTGTATGCTCTGAGAATAGAAGGTTCACTATGGAAATCCCCATGAATATGAAATTTCAGATGATGAGAGGTCACCCCGGGAAAAATATGCTCATCAGTAACAAAAACATCCCCTTAAATAGCAGCAAACTGGATAAACAAAATATTGCGCAAACTACCACTAAACACTGATTCACAGTTTTGTTTTAGTGCCACATCTCACTAGAATTGTTTTTTTTTCCTTAAGGAAATGAGGCTCTTGTGTTACTTATCTTTGCTACACAAATGCCTACGTGTACTTGATGAGAAGCATCTAGAAGTCTTTCTGGGTCAAACTAATTTTATGATTAGAGCAAACAAACAATAAAAAGTCGTAAGAGAAACGTGTTATAGGCCACACCAAGTGCCACTGAGTTAAGAGTGCAGCTCTTATATCGCACCCCATACCATACCACGCCACCCAAACCCCCCCCCCCAAAAAAAACACAATAAAAATCACATTCCAGTCAGCAATGATATGAAGCTTCCAGAATCATGCTTTGAGACGAGATACATGTATATGGAGGTACACTTCAGGTTCTTTAGGATCATTATATGAACCTGGCATGTATAAAACCCTCTCTTCAATTGTCTTCATGTCTTTGATAGTCTGTGTGTGTGTGTGTGTGTGTGTGTGTGTTTGGGGCATCGAACCAGAAGCGTTTACTCAACAGTCACAGACTTGGCCAGGTTTCTTGGGCAATCAACCTGTGTAGAGCAAGAAAAGAAGAATTAATAAAAACTAGGTAAGTAAAGTTTGTGAACAAACTTTGAAGTTGGCTTGAAAAAGCTTAGTCTGAAAGTTTGAAGCAGACGTAAAAGCTTCAAGTTTGAAAGTTTAGTTTAAATAGATGTTGCTAGCATGATTTAGCATGTTACCCTTATAGTCATTAAGTACTCATTAAGCTTTGCTGGTGACACACAGCTTAAACACTCTATAAGTCCTGCTGTACAAAAGTTTTGACCCCCTCAATGAAAGTCTATGGGATTTTTGCGTAGTTTTGATCGTCCGTTTAACGAAAATCGTAAGTCTGATCAGTTAGAAAAGATATAGCAACCTGAGTCAGAACAGTCTGAAGGTCTGACCCGAGTTTGGTGATTGAAGCTTGAAAACTCTAGGACAGGGGTCACCAAACTCGATCCTGGAGGACCGGTGTCCTGCAGAGCTCAGCTCCAACCCTAAATAAACACTCCTGAACCAGCTAATTAAGGTCTTACCAAATTTTGTCTCAGTCGAAGAATAAGAGGAAGAAATAGCATTTCAGTAAGTTACTTAACACACACTATGGCCTGGTTTCACAGACAGGGCTTAGGCCATAGTTCAATTAGGACATTTAAGTAGCTTTTATAAATGTCCCTTAGATAAAAACACTATTGATGTGCTGGGGGTAAGAGTAATATGACGTAATATTTACTGAACATAAAGCAATCTTTTGCATTTCCTTTAGATCACTTAATTGTTCAGTTAAAAATGTGTTATTTAAGCCATACAGTTGTCAAAATCTTTAGCGGTGGGCCAATGGTTTTAGATTGGGGTTTAGGTTGTCTACTGCAAATGCAAATGTTTTGGGTGGATCTTGCTTTATGTAAACAGTATTTTACAGAGAGTCCAGGGCTCAACAATAAGTATTTTTTGCCAGATTCTTTAAGTGGCCCCACTGCAAAAATATAAATATTGTTTTTTAGTATCATACACCACGGTTTAAAAGTTTGGAGTCTGTAAGATTGAAAGAAGTTTATTATGCTCACGATGACTGCATCTATTTAATAAAAACAGTAAAAACAGTAATTTTGTGAAATATTGTTACAACAACCATTTTGCTATTATGCAAAGCTGAATTTTCAGCATCATTACTCCAGTCTTTAGTGTCACATGATGCTTCAGAAATCATTCTAATATGCTGATTTGATGCTCAAGAAACATTTCTTATTATTATCGGTGTTGAAAACAGTTAAGCTGCTTCATATTTCTGTGGAAACAAGATCCTTTGATGAACAGAACATTTAAAATAACTTTTTTTTAGCAAATTACATCTTTACTGTCAATTTTGATATATTTAATGTGTCCTTGCTGAATAAAAGTATTTATTTCGGTCATAAAATACACATCAGGGAGGTCAGGAAGTGATGAAAGCGAGAGCGTAAGAGACTCACGTCGTATCCGCGGAGCACAGCGAGGTGGAAGGAGAGCATCTGTAGAGGGATGACGCTGAGGATTCCCTGCAGACAGTCCAAACAGTGAGGCACTTTGATGGTGCGGCTGGAGTTGTTGATGGTCTCATTGTCCTCCTTATCACAGATCACGATCGGACGGCCCTACAACAGCAACATAATCACATCCACTTAAACAAAGGAAAAACTGCAGAGACAGCTAGGGCTGTACAACATAGGAAGCTTTTAATTCAGTCTATTCTTATGTATTTTTGCATACTGAATTGTGATTGATCTGCAACTTGATTTACAGCATTTTTAATCATTTTACCATTAAAGGTAGGGTAGGCGATTTCAAAGAGACTAGCAATAGCAAGCTAACTCTGAAAGCATAAGATTGCCACGCCTCCAAAACACATGACCACACACTGGCAGAGCAGAGGCTAACCAGCGACACGATGAGAGACGGCGTTGGTGGAGGATTGAATACAATGCTGTCAGATTAACTCATGTCTCATTCATCGGTGAGAAAACATTACAGTACAATAGAGTAACAGAACACGCTGATGATAACAGATCATGTGTGAAAGATGCTTGCAAATACAAACGTTGACAGGCAGGTAGGACAGCCTATCGGACCGAGGAATATGATTGGACGAACATTTTATGGTCCTACGCCTTCCACAGACAATATAAATAGATTTAGACCACTTCACTTAGTGATTGCTATCGGGATGTGAAGAGACTTTCAACCAGCATAACAAAAAATGTTTTTGAACCAAATCACCTACCCTGCCTTTAAATTTGAAACTATTTTATATCTTGCAAGCAGTGGCATTACCTTCAGGACATGCAAATCTAGTAATGGTAAATGTGGACATTTGAATGGCTCTTACCTGTCTAGCCACGACCTGCTGCAGTGCGTTCTGGCACTTGTTGTATGTGTGGTCTCTCATGATGATCATTATGACAGGCATGAGTTTGTCCACTAGAGCCAGCGGCCCGTGCTTCAGCTCTCCAGCCAAAATCCCCTCTGAATGCATGTATGTGATCTCCTTAATTTTCTAAATGACACCAAAACACAAGCTTTAACATGCTACCTGGGAAGACTGACTAGATGGGAACTATTAAATAAAATAGAAAACAAAACAAAGCAAAAACAAAACAGGCAAAATAAAGCAAAAAAAAAAAAAAGTAAAAGCAAAGCAAAAACAAAGGGAAAATGAAGCAAATGCAAAATCAAAGCAAAACAAAACAAAGCTAAATAAAGCAAAACAAGGTAAAGCTAAAAAAGAAAAAAACAATTGCACAACTGTTGCATAACCACAATTAGGGCAAAAAACTAGTTTAAACAGGCAAAAAAGTACATAGGTTCATATGCACAATTTTGTGGTCAGAGCTGGCTAATGCCTCGATGACAGTTTCACCATCCTCTCTTCCAGTGAATACAGGGCTTTTTTCTTAGCTAACACCGTTAAACTGCTTCCTCTGTTTATCTGTGGTTAGACTAAATGAGGCCAAACTTCTCAGAAATTCTGAAGTCCATCAGTTAAGATTCTTATTTTCTTCCTTGTTATTACTCTCCTGTAGGACTTGAATGTACAGGTCTTGAATGTGAAACAGCCGCTTCAATCAGTGTAAATTAACCTCAAATGAGAACTAGAGGGCTGCCTGGGCGACTCGGTTAAAGGGAAAGTTAATTGAAAATGAAAAATGTCTTTTAATCACCATCATATCGTTCCAGACCTGTATGACTTACTTTATTTTGCTTAACAAAATAGATATTTTGAAGAATGTGGTAAACGGTTTTGGTTTCCACTGACTAATGTATGAAGGAAAAGGGAAAAGGGCATGTGGTCTAACCAAAGCACCCTCCAGGCAGGTGGCGTAGTGGTAGCCTCGGCCCATGATGAGAACACTCTTCTGCTTATACAGCTCAGCTGCCAACTTCTGAATCTCCTCGTCCAGGCTCAACACCTCCTTGATGAGATCTAGAGAAAGACATGACTAAAGGTCAACATTGTTGAATTTGTACATTTGTACAAGTACCAAACTATCCAACCCTCAAAAGTTACATTTGCTGCAGAATATTTTATTCTTTATAAGCTCCAATAAACGCTGCTTGTAAGTGCTTAGAAGCTTCGATCACCTCTCTACTGCAATCTTGGCCCATTCCTCACTTAAAAAAAAAGCTTCTAGATCACTGGTCCTTTTTGGTTTTCACATTGCCACTGCTTTCGTCAAATTCAACCAAATATTTCAATGAGGTTTAAATCTGAAGACTGATCCCTGAACCAAGCGTAAGTAGATTTGGGTACATACTTTGGGATGCCTGCCCTGCTGGAAAGTCCAGGGATCATCAAGCTTCAGTCTATGCACTGATGCCAAAATGGCCTGATTTTTCAATGAATCCATGATGTCCATGCAGTCAAAATTTCCACTTTCAGCAACAGAAAAGCACCCCCATAGCAGGACTGGTCCACCTCAATGTTTGACCATGGAGATGGTGTTTTCTGCTTATAAGCTTGCCTTTTTACACCATACAGCAGATCCAGTGGGTCCAAAAAGTTCCAGTTTGGTCACATAAAACATTCTTCCAGAACTCTGTTCTTCTTGGTCAAGAGTGGCATTCGGCAAGATTCGCCATCATGAAGGCCATACTTGTCTAGTGTTTTCTTATACTCTGTATTTTAAATGTTTTTTCCTTCTTTCATCGGGTCATCTAGCAACATTTTATGATACTGTGCTTTTTCTTCAACACCCTCAAAGGTTTTCTTGGCTTAAACACATTTTAAGCTAAGGAATGAGGCTGCCAGCTGTGTCTCTAGGAACTTTTAATGACTTGGAAAGACTTTCTAATGTAATAAAACTTTCTTCTCTAGAGCTTTTGTGAGAGCTCTGTTGACTTTACCATATTTGCTACTCACGTCAGCACATGAATGGGCTAAGTTTATGTATGTGTAACAGCACAAGCGAATCCTGTTTTCTAATAGAGTTGCTATAGGCTTAATTGTGTTTAAAGACAATTTTGTTCCCTACTATAAAAATAAGTGACTTAAAAACAGCAATGTTGAATAGGGGTTGAATAATTATGACATAGCTGTGTTAGTTACCACTGATAAGCTACTACTAAATATTGTAGAAACTTAATTTGCTGTAAAGTTCGTGAAAAGCGCTATACAAATAAACTTGAATCGAATTGAATTATAAAAAAAAAAAATCCTATAACTCAAAAATATCCGTTTTATATTGACATTATCACTTTCAATATGCCAATAAACTGTTATAGATGCAATTTTTATAAAATTCTAGATCTTCAGAAAAGCTTGCATTTGTGAAGTACTCAAGTCTCTGGGAGGTTGAATTATTTTGATTGCGGCTGTATAGTCATTTATTTATTTAACATTTTATTTTTCTAATTTATGTTATTTATATAATCAATGCAATTTTTATTTATATTAATTAATCATTAATGCCATTTCATGTATTTTTTAAAGACCCACTCAACTGAAACTTTTAACAAACCAAAAGGGGGCGAATTACCTTGTGTAAAATGTGTGTAGCATAAAACTGGATGCTAAAACATGTCAACAGTTTAACTAACTTGCTCAGCAAGAATATTTCCAAATTGCTGCTCCATCACCACAGTAGTTGAACTTTAAAGAAACAACAGATGCCTGCTGCAGCACCCCTTGTGGCAAGACTGAGAATACGACATGTACATGTGTGGCAATGACACAGTTAATCTACTTGCATATATACGTTTTGAGCCAAAGACTGCAAATACAGAATACAAAACATGCTAGCATTAACGACAGAATCAGTAGTTCTTCATATGAATAGTGAGCTGGAGTGCAGGGGGAACTTCAGTAACTGGCTGCCAATACATTCCTGACCTCATTGGCTTGGAAGCAGAATGAAAACTCCACAGAGGGAGTAAGCAAGAAGCGGAGAAAGATGGGGGAAGGAGGGCGCCCCAGCAGACACTTGCGGTCCAATAAAGACTTCCAACAGTGACGGAGAGAGCTGGCCAAGGCCATCTGCTCCTCCCTGCACACCAACCCCTGAGCGCACGCACTTACATGCACATGGAGCTCTATGACGTCAACGTCTCACCATCATAAATGTACACAAAAATCACATGTGCACAAAAACAGAAGTTTTGAATTAATTTGTTGAATTTACTATTGTGACTGATGACTGGGATCACGTTAGCTGCCGTTCTTGCAGAATTCTAGACAATTCTAAAACTTTCACACACACAGAGCTGTATTTGTGTTTACCTGGCAACACTTTGAGGCCTTGTATGATTTCTCGTCTGCGTGGCTGCACTGAGATTCTGTCATCGCACATCAGCAGGGCAAACATGATGAGAGCCACAAACTGACTTGTGTATGCCTGCAATAAACAAAAACACAACACAAAATAGTTCACATGAGCTCAAAATGCAATTTGTATTAATTGTTACAAATGGGGGCCAATCCTACAGTATACTCTGGCCCACAGTGGCCCCACAAAGTAGTTGGACACTGAAGCCAGGTTAAAATAAGTACACATATCATGGCATTAGAGAACTAAATATAAACCAAGAGGCATCTAATACACTTGTGGTTAACTCCGCTAGGACACTTGTTTGAATCGGAGGCTTCGAACATCCATCAAAAAAATCACTGCCACATCAATTCAAGTCATTGCAAAAATGTCTTCAAAAAGTTAGTTCATATATGACACTTGCTTTAATATTCTGTATTCAAGGCAATGGCATTCAGACATTTTTAACACCGGTTGAAGTGTCCAGACACTTATTGGGGCCACCAAGATGTTTGACATATGTTCTCCATGCACCAATTCAATAAAAACAGCAATTCCCAAGTCTCCTTCTATTAGAAAAAAAAAGCACATTTATGATCCACATTCTACACCAGGTCAAATGACAAAGTGGGAGAACTTGGGTTGCCAAAAACACTGTATTGTATTTCAGTCAGGTGTTATAAAAAATATAAAGAAAAAAGAAAACCAAAAATGTTTTGGTTGAATGATTTGCCAAATAAGACCAGGGAAACGAGTAAGAAAAGGTGCTTCCTATTTTTCTCTCCATGTCCATCTCCAACAAGTGCCTTTGATGCCAAAGCCTCTGTGGCTTGTAAATCGCTTTAACGGCATTCCTCAATGCATACGTTGTCACATTACATGTCTAAATGTAATCTGGTGCTATGCCATTATCTTTCAGACCATATTAAAGCCACTCTTGGTCAAATATGAAGCACATTTAGGAAGCATTCAGGACGTCTGACAACATGCTCTGGCTCACTTGCAGTTCTTTGAGTTCATGCAAGATACTTTCAGTGACAGTAGAGGAGCCCTGGACCAGACACCCACCCTTGCAAATTACTACCACATGAGCACTGATCCATAGACGCATTACTGTGTCGCTTACTATTTACAGATGCTTTTCATCTGTGACGGTTCACTACCTGCAGGGATAGAGTTCCTGTACCAATCTGAGGTTAAGTAGTTTGGTCAAAGGTGTGATGGTGACTGGGATTGACAGATTATGATCTTGGTGAGTGATATTCCATTAAACAGTAACCATTTTAACCAATTTCTGCGTGGTTTTAAAAGGCAACAAGTTTCTCAAAATTAAACAGAAACCCAAACCTGGTGCAAACCTGAAGTTATACAGTGGGGAAAATATTAATTTAATCCCCTGCTGATTTTGTAAATTTGCCCACTTACAAAAAAAATGAAGGATCTGTCATTTTTAATAGTAGGTTTATTTTAACGTATAGAGACAGAATACCAACCAAAAAAATCTAGAAAAAACACATTATATAAAGGTTAGAAATTTATTTGCATTTCAGTGAGTGAAATAAGTATTTTATCCCCAAGCAAAACATGACTTAGTACTTGGTGGAGAAACCCTTGTTGGCAAGCACAGAAGTAGTAAGATGTTTTTTGTAGTTGGTCACCAGGTTTGCACACATCTCAGGAGGGATTTTGGTCCACTCCTCTTTACAGATCCTCTCTAAATCCTTAAGGTTTCTTGGCTGTTGTTTGGCAACTCAGTTTCAGCTCCCTCCACAGATTTTCTATAGGATTGAGGTCTGGTTGATGGTATGTTTTGGGTAATTTTCATGCTGGAAGAACCATACATGAGACCCATCTTGTGTTCTGGCTGAGGGAAGGAGGTTCTCGTCCAAGATTTTACAGTACATGGCCCCGTCCACTTGCCCCTCAATGCGGTGAAGTCGTCCTTTACCCTTAGCAGAAAAACAGCTCCAAAGCATAATGTTTCCACCTCCGTGCTTGACTGTAGGGATGGTGTTCTTGGGGTCATAGTCAGCATTTCTTTCCCTCCAAACACGGCGAGTCAAGTTAATGCCAAAGAGCGCAATTTTGGTCTCATCTGACCACAGCACTTTCTCTCAAGCCTTCTCGGAATCATTTTGATGCTCTTTGGCAAACTTTAAACGGGCCTGTACATGTGCCTTCTTGAGCAGGGGGACCTTGCGGGCGCTGCAGGATTTCAGTCCATTGCGGCGTAGTGTGTTACCAATGTTTTGCTTGGTGACTGTGGTCCCAACTGCCTTAAGATCATTAACAAACCAACCATTCAAAAGTAAAAAAAATAAAAAAAATCACTACCATTCAAAAGTTCATTGCATCTGATCAAAAATACAGTAAAACAATAATATTGTGAAATATTGTCTCCTTCTCACCAAGCTTCTTGCTGATGGTCTTGTAGCCCATTCAAGCCTTGTGCAGATCTACAATCTTGACTCTGACATCCTTTGACAGCTCTTTGGTCTTGCCCATGGTGATGGAGATGTTGGAATGGAAGATACAGATTGTGTGGACAGGTGTCTTTTATACACCTAATGAGCTGACATTAGGAGTAACTTCTTAAAGTGACAGGACTAATCTGTGTTCCACATGGGCACATAACCAGTCTGTGGGAGCCAGAATTCTTGCTGGTTGGTAGGGGATCAAATACTTATTCACTCACTGACATGGAAATCAATCTCTAACTTTACATAATGTGTTTTTTCTGGATTTTTTGGTCGGTATTGTCTTTATATCCATTGAAATAAACCTACCATAAAAATGACAGACCCTTCATTTCTTTGTAAGTGGGTAAACTTACAAAATCAGCAGGGGATCAAATAAATATTTTTCCCACTGTACATAAAAAAATCGACGCAAACTCAACTCTAAACCAGTCAATTTGTTTGGTTCCATTGGACTCAGTTCAAGTTATTACCCAACAGTCCATGCAACATCAAGTCACCAAAGCACAGAATTGCTGGATGACTGCAAAGGCTGATATAGTATCATTTGAAAGTCACAGAGTAAAAGTTTGTTTCTCTTTCAGTTGTTTCTAGTGCTAGCTATTATATTAAAGTGCCCCTATTATGCCATTTTTAAGGTTCCTAATATTGTTTTGGGAGTCTCCTACAATAGGTTTACATGCATGCAAAGTCAAAAAAACTTTTTGTTTACTCAAAATATGCATTTAATATCACCTCATTTTCCAACGATTCTCACACGATTAGTTCAAAGCAGTTCTGAGATTCAGTCTCTCTAAACCCCCCCTTTCCGTGAGCCTACTCCACTCTGATTGGTCAGATTTGTTGGCCCAGTTTGTTGTGATTGGTTTACCGCATACAGCGCGTGTCGGAATTGATATGCCCGTTGTCAGTTCCGTATTTTGAACACTCGATAGAAAATATAAACATCTATTATTTATCATACTTACAGGTTGTGATTCAGTGGAGTCAGCTTATCTGAATAAACTGTACTGGACCATCTTTCAGGAGCAAGCGTTTTGTGAATCCCACGTTGAACTCCATGCGATTACAGAAGCAGTCATCAGTAAAATAACGGGAACACTAAAAAAAGACTGGGGTTGTACTGCTGTGGTACAGTGGAAAAAATAAATTTTAACCACTGATTCTTTGCAGCCTCATCTTTCGGAAGTGAAAATAAAATGTATTTACTTTCACAGCGAAGGACACAGCGGCTTCTCGACATGATGTTAACCACATGAACAAGCTACAGTGTTTGAGGGTGGGTCAAGTTGTTTGCGGCCTGCCAACGTAGAACATAGGCGAGCATTGTGCAAATGTGTTACCCTGCGTCGT